GGAGAGCACCACCTCCCTTGGGAGCCCATTCCAGACCTTGGCTACTCTAACTGTGAAGTTCTTCCTAATGTCCAGTCTAATGTTATATTTGAACATTTCTTTTCTCAGATGCAGAATGTAAAACGATTTACCCCTTCTGCTCCACAACAGCCATGACAGACAAGGCTGTCTGTCTCCAAACTGGTTTCCTCTTTTGTTTGCCAAATCTGCTGAGTACCAAGCAGCAAACATGGGAGGGCAGATTCTCATGGGTGCTAGCACCGTTCTGCTTCTCTCTAGACGTATAAACAGCACCATGTCCAAAGCATCTAAGCACCTCGTAATCTTTAGTGTATTTTCTTTACTCCTGATGAGGAAGGGAAGTGCTATCGCCCTCATGCTACAGCTGGGGAACACACAGACGGAGTATGTGGCAGAGCAAAGAATTCAGCCCCGTGCTAGAGCCCTACCCCCTGGACTATCCTTCCTCTTACCACTGAAGTTATTTAGATGGCAAATATAGCCTAAGAAATTAATAAAGGCCTACCAGGCACCAAGATACTCTGATTTATGCTTCCACAACACCTGAGGCAAATGGAGAGATGAAACACTGCATAAACTGCCAAAATACTGGATACCCCCCTTCTCATACTCATCCCTGGGGACACAGCACTTTAGAGGGCCTCTGGCAGTGCAGCATGGAACAATGAGATTTTGGCTGGTCAATGCAATGTACCTCACTCCACAAATTACAGAGGAAAACTGAAGACCTGAACAATCACTGAACCCAATCGGGCTGTAGCCAACACGCCATGCAGCACATTCAAGAGTCCACCCAACTAGGACCCAATCCAGCACACACTTCAAGCCAATGGGTAGTTTCCATTGATTGCAAAGGGTGTGAAAGTGGGACTTTACTGGATATTCAATGTGATGATCATAAGGCACAACAGCACAACATCTCAAGGTATTAATCCTGGAGGAGGAAACCGAATGCCCAGTGTAGGGCAATAAATACCTTGCTGCCTTGTCCTACCAGATACTAGGACAGTTTAGGTGTCATTTAGATTATACCTCCCTATCACCAGCCTGGGTTCACAGAGAATCGCCCTTCCAGTTCCTATGTGCCAGCTCCCAACCAACAGCCCCAAAACCTTTCAGCGCTCACCATCTTTTCCCCCTCCCCTATTAATCCCTCCCCATTTTTATATGCATCTATCTACAGGCATTTTCTAGGTATCTACACCACGGAATCAACAAACGCAGGTACTGGCAGGGAGATTTGGTGTATAGCGATTTTCCTTGCTAACGTTATCCTCAATACAGCCAGGCCTCCACTACCCTTTTACAATTAATTTCTTCTGCAGGTTTAAAAACATGTTACTGTTTTAAAACTTTTCACACTATAATACATAGTGCTCCACTGCGTAGAATTTTATTTATTTTGGGGTCATGCTTCTAAGTGCCTGAGCAAAAAAGCTCAGTGCATGATCACATCACTGTGAAATGTGTATTTGCATTTTCAATCTAGTAATTCACACTTGCAAACAATAAAATTACCTTCTACTGCCACAAAGGAAAGCTGTTATCATTACTGTCTCGTGTTCATGCATATAGGGTTGTTGTTGTTTTTTTAAAATTCACTCAGCTTAAATTGGATGCTGCATTGCTTGTTCTGCCCTCAAACTCGTATCCAATGTTGCTGTGTGGTGTAAAAGATCCATAGTGTCCACCCAAGACAGCGATACGTTTTAAATGAGGATGCAAAATGGTTCCTATTCACATAATGGACATTTTCCAAAAGTGACTAGTTCCATGAGATGCCATCCTCAATTTTTGGGACCAAAACCTGACATGCTTTAACGGGTCCTGAATTACAGACAGTGGGTGTCCAGATATTTTAAATGTACTTCATGTCTAAATTAGATTACAAATAAATCAAAATTATGGGAAGGAAGAAAATAAGACACGTGATCGTCTCCACATATTTGAGGAAGTGAATGTAAGGGCTTTTTTATATTCAGCCCTGGACACAAATCAAAGCTGTATAGATGCTACATCTGAACTAGAAAGAAGAAGAGTGGTTTTGTGTTTGTACCTTGCATTCTTTGTTGGCATTCCCAGTAGTATACACATGCAGTTATGTATAAAGACTTGCCTACACACAGAAAAGTTAGTGGAGAATATGCCAAGGCATGAATTTAAAATACAACAGATATTCCACACTAACTCCTTGTGTAGACACTGTTATTCTGCACTGAGAAAGTCTCAATTTAACTCAGTCTCTAGAATAGCTACTGTGCTATTGACCCGACAAGCCAGTGGCAGAGCTGGGAACAGAAACCAGGTCTCCCAAGTCCCACCCAATCCGCAAGGCTACCCTGGGTACATTTAGGGCATATAGTCCTGATAGCATGCTGTGCCATACAGAAGCACTATAGGAATGACCTAGCTAGCATCCTGTAGCACATCTATTGGCCAACCACGCGGACGACAATGGTTTTCTATGACCAAGAGCCAGTGCTGGAAGTTGAGTAGCAAATGCCATAAAAAAGTACAGCAGGCCCCAAAGTGTGTAATAAACTTAACAAAAGGGGTAAGTCCCCCCAGTAAATCAGCAAGCAGCAGCTGCCCACATGCCTGCCTCAGAAGGCACCTGTCAAACATGTAAGCAATGTAATAATCCACCCTGCACGGTGAAACCGCCCCCAGGAGATGCTTTCAGTAAGTCCCATGTCAAACACTACCTCCCTTCCCACAATGATCACTATGTCGACACACCAGAGCGCAGAGAGCATCCCAGTAGCTGTAATAGTTTCTGAAGTAAGCAACACCCTCTACCACTTATTGTGGAGGGAAGGTGCCTCTCTGAGAAGCACAGGGCATGAAGATGGGGCAGCAGAGTTCAAGGGCAGCAGCAATTCACACAGCCCATTGCAGTTCTTAGCCAGGTGAGGGTTTCTGTGCAACGTCTGGAATGAACATGACTGCTGTGGTCTAAGGATGAAGAGGCCGTGTCACCCCAGTGGGCACGAACGTGGGAAGGCCATTCCTGGGCTCCTGTGACCAGCAGCTTTATTTTTATACACACACAAGCATAAAGGTTGAAGTGGCTCATCCAATATGAATGGGGGTGCGTGCATGTACATGTGAGATCTCTAGGAGAATGTACAACCTACTGCACAGGCAAAATGAAAGACACACCAACCTCATTTAAAATTCCCAGTGCATAAGTCACAGCCAGTCAACTGGAGTTAATACCAGTGTACCGAATTGCTAGAATCATGCCTATTATTATGCATGTGGTAGGTACCAGTTCTTATTTTTCCCCATGCTACCTGCTAATTACAACAAAATTAATAAACAAAAATGCCGTGAGTGAGAAGCATTCAGAAAGGGTTTCTTTAAACAGAAAAGACTATTTTAAAAAGATATATATGCCAGGTGGTTGAAAAAAGCAGCAGCCCAGGTTCTAAGGAACGAGCCCTCTTTAGGCATATATGCGGACTGGAATTGGAAAGTCCATCTGTGCCTCTAACGCGCTGCCTTGTACTACGGATGCCAATTACCATGAACAAAACAATAAATGGCCTGGCACCCAGCTATGATCTGCTATACCCCACTTTCATGCTTCAACCTCAAGGGTGATGTATGTAGGAGACAGGAGCAGGACGTACTCACTCGGCAAACCCAATGAAGCCTGACCGCATGCAGAAAGCACTGCATGATGCATTGTTCAGGCCTGAGTTTTGGAGGGTAAAGGAAGGAGCGGAGGCACAAAGTTTTAGAACTCAGTGATCACATAAGGGCAATCACTGTTCCCAGTCAGTCCAGTGGATGCATTCTATTCCACATGTTCTTCCTCTGGGAACCCTGTTATCCCAAGCTGAGCTATGTCTCCCAACATGCAGCATTTGCCCAGAAGATGCCTGCCTGTTTCTCCAAACCACTGGTCCCCTTATTCAGATAAATAGTGTCCTAACACGTTACAAAACAGAGCTATGCTCAGCTTCTCTACCAGCTGCCATGGAGCAGCCTTTTCCAGGTCACTGTTGGTATTTATTGGCACCTCTTCACATTCCTGAATCCTTGGCTATTGCTCCTACAACTCAGTCCAAAAGGAGACAGACAAGGACCAGCACACGTTCCACTGCCACTTTCCAAACAAATAAAGGTACAACAGGCCGCCCTCTCGTTGTTAAGATTAAATGCACGCCCTCCAGTCCTGGGAAAG